TAAACTTCGTAGGGAAGACCATCTAATCCCAGGGACTTATCCAGGCCAACCTGCTTCAGCGATTCCCAGATTTCCGACTCTGTAATGGGACCCTCGCACCTAGCCGCATCAGCTGCCGAGAGGCAGGGAAAGTTAGCTAAATAGGTGTCGAACTGAGCAGAGCTCAGACCGGGCTCCCTGGTGAAAAGATCCTGAAAGTAATCCCGAAACACATCACATATGTCCGCGTTTGTAGTCACGGTCCGCTTATCCGGTAATGTGATGCACGCTATATGTCGCCTAGACGCGCTTCGATTCGTAGCCTCAGAAGACATTCTTTTTAACCTAGCCCTAACTACCAGAGCTTGATCCTTCTTGATAAGCAAGGAGGACAACTCTGCCTTAGCTAAAGCTATATCCCCACTAACACGGGATTTCACAGCCCGATCAACTTTATCTTCTAAAGCCGTTTGCGCCGCTAATCTATCTAGATTGAGTCGACGACTAAAATCGGCAGCAAACGTTCGAATTTTAGATTTTAAATTGCCCCACCAGGCATTTCCCACAATCGCTCCCGTCAATTCCCTTTGTATCATTAGTAACAGCTGGTCCCGGAAACACTGCTCACCAAAAAGTAAACTGTTCAATTTCCAGTAACCAGCCAACCTAACCTTTGGCTTATCTAAGTTTACACGGACCCGGACAAGCCTATGATCCGTATAAACTATATAATGGAAACTTGGACACCCTAAGAGCCCTACATCGACTCTCCTAACTAAGACTCGGTCCAGGTAGCTCGCAAGCGTCCCAGGAGCCGAGTTGCCACTAGTTGTCCAAATCCATGCTACCTCCCGAGGGTGTTCATTCCGGAACTTATCAACAAGATCAAACCCATCGATAAAGTCCCGAAATGGTTTCACATCCGGGTTGTTAGTACCTTGTTTTTGCCCTATACGATCTATATCGGGGTCAAGAACGGCGCGATCTGCCGAAACAAAGCAGGCCGCTCGGAATGGGTATTGGGCGCATAAACCCCAATGAGACGAAGAACCTTATCCTTTATGGTAACATCCAGCACGCAAAGTCTGCCCGCCAGATCCGCGAAGACAAGGGTACATGCAGCCTTCAAAGACTTGCTCACTAGCCAAGAGACACCCCTCGAACGACCATCAAAACAGGCTGAATAAAGGGCGAACCACCTAGACAGTATGTCCTCACGATCATGAGAAGAAAACCGGGTCTCTTGTACACAACATACATTCACTCCGAGACGCTGTACACAACATACATTCACTGCGAGACTTGGACCTCAGGCCCCGGACATTCAAACTAGCTAACCAGAGTGCCATTGTGAAACCGATTAGGGGTTGCCCTTCAGGATAGAACATGGCTGGGGTGAGGACACCGACAGCTCGTCCCATAGAACCAGACGCCATCTCACTTTCGATAGTATCATCTTGAGACAAGCCGCCAATGTCCGAAGGGTAGGTTAATTTAAGAGCCCTATAAAGGGATGGGTGAACGAAAACGGGGACCCTCCCTTTCAGTTTTTCATTTCCTTCATTCATTTCTGGGTCGAGTAAGTAGGCAGCTGGGGGCACCATTTTTAGAGACGACCGGGCCTCCTGTATCATGCCCCAAATCTCCCGCGTACCCGGGCCAGTTCTTATGACTGTCAGAATTCTTCTAGCAGAAGGGAAATTTTCGGGCTTTTCTACCTCTACGCCATTTATCAATTTAAAATTGCAAAGAACTTTTAAGTCCTTCGGGTTCCTCGTCTGCCCAAATACCCTTTCTGCCTGGTCCCGGGATACGCGACAGACGTCTTCCCCTGGTAGATATGGTGGTTTGATCTTTTTTTCCTTTTTATCGGTGACTGTTTGAGAATCCGGGCTTCTGAATCTTTTCTTATTAGGAGATTGCATAGGTGTTGACATGGGTGTGGCATTCGGAGTAGTTGAGGGAGTCCACCCAGGAGGCGTCCTCACCGGCGATGGTTTTGAAGAATGAAGTGACTTAGCTGGAGAATTTGAAACAGATTTGGGCGGAGGTGGCTTAGTGAAAGATTTAGATGAAGAAGGGGAAGACGGGGCAGAGGATACGGGGCCCGGTGCCCCCAGCGATTTTTGATTTTTCCCGCGTTTCGTCTCCAATTTTTCTTTCAACTTCTTTAGGTCCAATATCTTTTCCCAGCTTGGTTCATTTAATTTTTGGTTAACCGTAGCATTCTCCCGATAAGACGCCGAGGCTTCTCCCTCAGAGCTGGTAGAGGGAATGGGGCTGTAGTTGTTAATGTCCCTGGGGTCATGATGTGACTGAGGAATCGCTGTTTGGGTCTTCCCTTTGCCCCTAACTACGAGGCGCCATTCCCCCTCATACTTTTCCTTATCCACACTAGTGGAAGGCGTCGGTTTAGGGGGTAATGTGGGTACGGACCCAACCGAGGGATTTTCCGCACCGGTCCGCCTGCAGCTAGGGCCCACTACAGGCGCTGCCGGATTTTACCTTCTCGGCAAAGGGGTATTTTGGTCGCCTGCGACCGGAACCCAGGGGCCTTCTTCCCTGGGCAGGAGGAGGAAAGGTGACCAGTCTCTCCACACCTCCAGCAAGTTGGTTTCCTACCGGTCACTATGACCGGCATTTTCCGGTCGCCAAACTCCAAACAGTTGGGGACGGTGTTGAAGACCTTCTGATCGAGCATAATATCAAAAGTCCATCCCCCGTTCAAATTGTCGGAGAGAGCCCCTAAAATTTGGCCGTACAGCATAAAAAATGCAGCCAGGTGCTCTCTCGAAATTTGAGGAGGAACCTCAAAAACGGCCACCCTGGTCCTCCTCCGGCCCTCATACTCTGTTCTAAAAATTAGATCTTTTGTTAATTCTTTTTTAGCCATAGCCAGGCAATCTTCTGTTGTGGGCAGCAGAATTTCCCACATGAAAAAACAGTACCCTTAATTACTCCTTGGGGTTTTATCCCCAGGGACAAAAGTGATTTAATCACTATGTCTTTCGTGGAGCGACAAATCTTGTGAGTTTTCTTGTCGACCACGAAAACGGACACCATTCTCTTTGCGAACACATCGAGCTCTTGGACAACTTCGACCAGCCCATCTTTATTTACAAGATGGGCATAATTTTTCGCCTTTTCCAAGAAATCCGCCATGTTCAAAATACAACTTGGGGGGGGACTTCCAACAAGAGGCAACTCCTCGGCTGTCTTAGATTGTGCCTCCTTTGGCACTTCTTCCTTTTGACTTGAGACCTGCTTGGTCTCTCCTTTTTTTGAGCCACTAGACTCCTTTGAATTGACGTCTAAATTAGTGACAGCATTTGCCCGTTTCTTAACAGATTTAGATTTATCTGGGGGGTCGGCATTAGCAGCCGCCCCAAAAAGGTCTTTTTTGACATTAGACCGACTGGCTTCGTCGGCCATGTTGAAGGGAGCGTCGAGACTACCACTTGCTGGTCTCTAAAAAATTTTCCAAAAACACGGAGAGAGGGGTTGGGAAAAGGCCAAAAAAAAAATTAAACAAAAAGAAAGCCTGGATAACCCAGGAAATTAAAATTTAAAAATAAACTAAAAGTAAAATAAAACAAAAGACAAAATAGATAAACTGAAAGAAAATAAATAAACAGGTAAGACTTTTTTTAAAAAATAAAAATGGCGCCCAAAGGAAGCCGAAAATAAAAGAAAAAACAGAAACTCCTCTCTTTTTTTTCCAAAAATTCAAAAAATGTACAAAAAGGAAAAAGAAAAGAAAATAAAAAAATAAAGGTTTTCGGCCGAAGCCGCTAAATAAAATAAATTAAAAGTAAAAGAAAAACAAACTAGTCAAACCCAAAAAAGAAAGAATGCGACCGAAGTCGCTCATTAAATAAATAAGAAGGAAGGTATAAAATAAAATAAAAATAAAAAGCTTTCTTTTTCTCTTTTCTTAAACTGTACTAAACAAACACTGAAAAGAAATAAACAGAAATAAAAAGCAGTCGTCTGGTAAGACTTTGTCAAACCGGACTAAAAAAAATAAAAAAATATGGGCCGAAGCCCAGAAAAATAATTTAAAACAAACAAAAGAAAAGAAAAAAAAAAGAAGGAAAAAAGAAAAGCTTAAATAAAAACTTAACAGAAAGACTTGGTGGGTCGAATTAAGTTCGTCAAGTATTTGCAGCAAATCCTCGTGGGACAAAACAAATTCGTCGCACTACAAAACAAAAACACGCAATCACAAAAAAATCCAAAATGACCGGTAAAAAAAAAGTCGGAAAAAGACGGAGGACTGAACTCTCTGCTTCCTCTTGAGGCGCAGTATTTATTATGTATGGAGTAGTCCATTATGTTATTATTGGTAAGGTCCCATAACATTTACCATTTTAGCAAGTACCTGGCTGTTCATACTATCCTCTATCTTTATAAGAGCCAAATCAAGCCGAAAATGGAGTACTGTTGCCATATTTGGGCAGGGGCTGGCCATACCTCACTTTCCAGTCTTGATAGAGTTTAAAAGCGTCTCTGAGTACCTGTTGGAGAACAATTATTTTCCATACTTCATCTTCTCTCTCTCACTTGTGGGATATGGTGACTCTCTCACTGCTTCATCGCTACTAGCTTAGAAAGTGCTCAGACAAATCGCATTTGAACCGCACCAGGTCTGACACAGCTAGGACCCGACATGCCACTTACATGGTAGAAAACCACTCACATTCCCTCCGTACTCCATGGGCAAGTTCCACTCAAATAGCTTCTTCCCGCGTACCACTGCACTATCAAAAACTCCCAAGAGGATGTTTTCCCGATCACTACAATCTTAATCTCTTCAAGTCTTGAGTCAATGGTAATCTTCTCCTCCTACCTATATAAATTACCTCTTAACGAACCCTCTACGGGCCTTGCACTTTACTGTACCCCCCCCCAATAAAACATTCATTTGATTGTACATTTTGAATTAAAATTAATCGAAATGGCAGTTATACTAAATGATGTTTATATAATTATTCCATAGTTCTAAAATCGATATTCCCTAGTCATCAGTCCAACATCGACTTTGCCTTACTCTCTATTACCTGTCACCAATGCGTCACTTCAGGGTACCGTGTTTCAGGTCTCTAATAACATGGTCAATCTATTACAGTTTTTGCTTCTTACGGTCCCGATCAACCGCTTCTCTGTTTCCATCAACTCCAGAACCGACTCTTGTTCTGCGATCCGACAAGCCGAAGTTACCAATTCGTAGTTATAATTTTAGGAGAAATACATAGTCATACGTGTTGATTACAGCTCATTTTTAGTCCTCGAAGTACCCAATTGAATGGGCGTTGGAGGGGTTGTTCAAAACTGCCTCTCCTGTGAATATTTTCTCGCAGAGAATATTATCTGAACTAATTCTTGAATTTGGTGAACATTTTGTTGAATTTTTCCAGCTTCAGCACCAAGGCCTCTGATTGGAAGATTGGAAGTTTTCAGGAGCGTGATACCAACTCTTAATTACCGTTGCTCTCAGGCCCAATTTGACCCGGGGTGTCAGCATCTGTTAGGGTCCGAGCTATGGGTAAAATAGTAAAATACGAAATGAAAACGCTATGAAAGTATAAAAATACATTTTTATAGTAAAAATTCTAGCAATACATTTTTATATAAAAAATTACCAGCAATATATTTTTATAGTAAAATTACCAACACACCTTCTATCAAATTGTAGTGACTTCAGCTAAATCTGTTTAAAATACTACCAAACATCAAACATGAAAGAAATTTCGTGACATTAATCCATATAATATCCTACGATTTCTTAAATCAAACTGTATTCCAAAATATAACGACATCATAAAACACACATATCACCGCCTCTAATAATTACGTCCACACAAACATATATGTGTACAAAAGCTGAGTATCATCTACCATGTATTCAATTGTGAAAACAGAATAATTATCTTACTCCTAAGAAGATGCTGCTGTTATATGTTCTGTACAGTTAAAAAAGAGTAAATTATGTGTTAAATTGCAGGTTAGACAGGGTTCTCCAGGTTTGGATGGCAACCAGCCATGGAGAAGGATTGCGCTGAAGAAATAAAATGTGAAGAAATCAACGGGGAGACATTCCACTTACATTTCCACTAAATCAAGACAATTCTAACATAAAAAAAGAGATAGGAACCTGCGGATAATCATAATCGCTTATGTCCTGAAGGAATATGCCATTTAAGAGAGACATAAAGAGTTGAGGGGCTCTCTCCTTTTTACACAAATGGACCTACCCAAGGTATACATATACTACTGCTAGTGAATACCCGGGAGAAGAGCGACGAACGAGAACGAACGAGAACGAACGAGAACAAACGTCACGAGCAAGAGTCACAGTGAGCGAGCACGTAGACTCAGTAAGAAGTCATACAGCGATACGTCGATACCAAAGACTGTATAGATATATTTGCTACTAACCCGCATTCCTGTGACTACTAACCTGCATTACCAGTTTGTATTATTACGTTAATACATTTATTTTGCTATATTCCTTCTTGGCGTTTGTTATTTATTGGTACCGGATTTTATCTCGGAATCCACAACATAAAGAAAGACTTAACAAAATAAACCTAGCTGTAAATTCACCTTTCAACAAGAATTCATTTAAAAAAAAAATTCACATTTTAACAAGACAATGACTAAATTATGTCTAAAGTACCTCCAGTCAAAAATTACCCTCAGTCAAAAAAATTACCTCCAGTCAAAAAAAAAAAAAAAAAAAAAAAAAAAAGAATAATATTTTGGAAAGTATGACTTGGCCGCCTCACTCTCCTGGTTTCTCACCCATCGTGTCATTTACATAACTTATATTATTAAGATCGTGGTCGCCAATAATGAATACTGGTAGGATTTTGAATCCTGGTGGGGTTTCCAATTCTCTCAGAATTGCCTCGCTGATTAGGTTGAATAAATCCGGTGAGAAGACACATCCTTGCCTTACAGATATATTTTCTATTTATTAACACTCTTTTATCATTAAACAATAACAAAATACACCCAAACCAAGTTTAATGACATATGGTGGGAACGGACGTCGTCAGAAGGTAACCTCCACAATCCCCACCATAATTTCTTCGAGAAGGGCTTAGTTTAGTACGAGACCTAGAATATGACACATCACAATATCAATGAAGCCTTCTCAAAAAATAACACAAAATTCAACTAGAATATTCCAGTTTGAAGACAATACAAAAAGGATGAGAGTGAGCATTTTTTAGTCATGAAGAATAATTTGAAAGGTTTCCCATCTACTTTCTTTTCAAAAACTGTTTGGAAAGAATGCCAAGAATTTGTAATAATAACCAGATTGTGGTTTTATTTACGAAAAGAAAATATGATGCTGTTGTATGATACTTTTTGATAGTTAAATATTTATTTTTTGTCAAAGCAAAAACAAATACACTGCAGTTAATGAATTCTTGTTGAAAGGTGATTTTTTTTAAATGAATTCTTTTTATTAATTTTTTTTTGATTTGTTCATTTATTTCATTGCAGTAGTGATAGCTTTTGCCATTCAAATGTGTATTCCCATTGTACAAAAGCAAAGCAACAGACGTGCTGGTCTGGAAAATATGTCAGCAGTACAAATCTGCGGCAATTAGAAAAGAGTGATGTTTATTTTACAGTACGCAATAACGTTTGATTGGCGGGAGGTTCTCTCGGGCTTAGCAATTCGAAGTTTGGCTTTAGCGAGCAGTGAAGCGTAATGAACGCTATTCATAATGGCGGTAAAATAGATACATGCGCCCTAATTTACTGGCATCTGGTATGGCCGTTTCTTTCTATACGTTTCTTGGAATGGTTATTAAATATCTAAAACGGATAATTTATATCAAACTGAGCAAATGTACGGTCTCTGTCTCTTTACACACACACACAAACAAACAAACACACACACACACACACACACATATATATATATATATATATATATATATATATATATATATATAAAAGTGGACAGCACTCAGAGACGAAAGTCTGTTTCATGCTAAATATATATATATATATTATATATATATATATATATATATATATATATATATATATACAGACACAAAACACACACATATATATACGCATACAAACACACGCACAAAATATATATATATATATATATATATATATATATATATACAGGGCGCGATGGATAAATTATCGCCCCTTTATAATTTTAATTTTGCATATGTTACTTGTTTTTTTTTTTTAATTTGTCAACTGCACAGTATGGTAGAGTCAGTTGGCTAACGCCAGGGAGAAAAAGAGCACCATGACGCAATACACTCTGCCAGAAATTTTTAAACGGCATGCTGTACTGCTTGGCATTCGTGCCGGAATATCCAATACAAACATTTCAGTGTGTTTGGATGTCAATCTGAGAACAGTGCAGAGGATTCAGAAAGAGTTGAATGAGTCTAATGGTGATTATGAATGTACGACATTTTGGAAAACTCTGATCTTTCTGATAAGAAAAGAATCCCAGAAATTGTTGTGGAGGTCCTCAAGATCAACACGGAGGCATTCATCAAGTGCCTGGAGGAGGTAGTGCTACCCTGTGTCAATAAGGTGACAGGTGGAAGACCCTATGTCTGCCAACAGGACTCTGCATCATGTCACACAAGCAAGAGAATCCAGTCATGGCTGTCAGACAATTTATGCTACCACATCACCTCTTACATCTGGCCACCTAACTCCCTAGACTACAATTCACTTGATTTTTATATGTGGAGGTTCAGTTGAGCGTGAGACAAACAAAATTCTTTGTAACACCAAAGATCAACTGAAGGCAAGGATTATGGCAGAATTCACCAACTTAAAAAAGGGTACTGTCTAGAAGAGTTGCAGGAGATTCCGAAGACGTCTGGAGGCCGTGGTTGAAGCCAATGGCGATTTTATTGAATAAATTTACCTCCTTTGTATTTCAAGATATTTTTGTGTGATGTTGTTAAATATACCTGTTACAATGAAATACCAGTGCTATTTTCATTTTTCGGTAATTTATAGGACAATTTATACATCGCACCCTATACGAGCTTTCACGCGCACACACCACATATACACACATATTCACACGAGATGTAATCGCATTCGGGCATGCCCGCACCTGTATGCACACTCACACTCACACGCGCATACACACACATACATATATATTTATTTATTTGGGTGGTTTGAAAAGGAGTAAAGATTTAACCCATGTATCCTGTTTAGGATTGGGTTTCAGGTTTCTTTTAAAGTCCACTTCAACTCTATTTTCCTAACGTCTCCACCTAAACTCTGAAATTTTATTTATTATTTGTTGTTCTTCACTGGGATTTAGATAGGCTCGCCTATCGCCCGGTTCTCTCTCCAAGATTTTTAACAGGAGTCAAAGTTTATCCCTTGATTCCTGTTTAGGATTGTGTTTTCATTTCCTTCTAAAGTCTACTTCAACTCTATACTCATAACCTCTCCGTCCGAACTCAGAAATGTTATTTATTATTTATTTATTTGTTCTTCAACATGAATAGATAGGCGAATCTATCGTCCGGTTCATACTCCTCTCCGGTATTAAATAACAGTAGACGTTTATGCCTTTTTTCCTGTTTAGGATTGTGTTTCTAGTTCTTTCAAAAGTTTGTTTTTCATCCTCTTTCATTCCCAGCATACTCTTGCATCTTAGTAGAATTATTGCATTGCTTGGGGTGAATTAATTAAAATAATAATTTACATGCAAAATGACTGATAAGATGCTTTTGTCTATATATAAAGCAATTCTCTAAATGGTTGTTTGTTCCGAGTGTTCTCGGTTTATCTGTTAACGATTTTTAACGATTTCTCACACACACACACACACACACACACTTATATATATATATATATATATATATATATATATATATATATATATATATATATATATATATATATATATATATAACCAAATAGACAACTCATAGGATTATAATTTATTTCATTAGGAACAGGATTTTGGTCCTAATTCATCAGATCTTCATACAAAATATTGGTAACTAATTTTTCCAGGCTTGAAAGCTTACATATTATTATTTTTAATTTATGCACGCACGCACACACACCCCACCATA